ACATTGAGAGCCAATTCTAACTTGTACCTCTCAGCTGTTTGGCTGTAGAATTGTAGGAAGACCTGGCTCCGTGAGCTGGCTTCTCTTTCCTGGTATTGTCTTTCTTATCACTCTTGGTGTCCTTTCGCTGTCCTCACCTAGCCCTACACCCTAGGATTCTAAACTCTGGAGCCACCTATTTATTTATTTATTTATTTATTTAAATAAACAGAACCTCACGGTTCTGGCTCCTACCATTCTGGGGAGTGACAGTCCGGTTCCTATTCCCCCGGCAAGTCAATATGGAATACATCAAAGACTCACACACGCTCCTCTCCATTATGGTTGAGAGGCCCGAGTAGACAGCATTGATTACTTCYCTGAGGAAGGATTTACCACCTCTCACCCCTGCCTAATCTASCCTGCACTAATTCTGCCTGGCAATCTATCTGATCCTAGATCTGCTCCTCTCAGCTATGAAGCTGTCAGGTATTCATGATTATACAAGAGCATTCTGAAACACTTRTATGTCCTATGAATCCTTCATAATTCTATRACCGCTTTTGCCTTGTTTCTGTCTAAGCCATAAATCCTAAGCCSTCGTTCTTAAGTTTATGCAATCCCTAAACCCTAAACCCTTAACTATAATTTCTGACCTCCACTTTCTCTCCCATTTCCTTTTTTTTCCAGTGGCTGCTATCCTCACATGATTTTGCAGCTTTCACTATTGGACTTCTTCCCCTTGCCCCCTCTGGAGAGTGTCTACTTGTTTCCTTGGTTAGGATGAACATCCGATGTTTGGTTGTATCTTCCCTTCTTTCAATACTGTAGTGACGTTTCCCATGCCTCATTCACCTTCGACCTGTTATCAGAAGTATATACTCCATTCCTGTTCGACATGACCCTTGTTGTGCCTGCCTTGTCCCCATCCTCTATCGCCCCATCTTTTTATCTGTTCCCTGCGTGTGTTTGGTCTCGTTGGAGCCACCTATTTATAACTGTAATCCTCCTCTTATTTTAGGTGCCTAAACATTCCTCATGCAAGGACACTAAGGGGTGCCGTAGCGCTCTTTGCCTTGTCCCTACCTTTATTCTGATCTTTCCTGAGGGATGTTGATCGGTTCTCTGCCGTCTGTTCGTTTAGTCACTCTGGTTGCGCTAATCTGTGGAAATATTCCCCCTGTTTACTATTCCGGCTATGGGTCTCCTCCTGTCTGTTTGTTCTTTTCCTGAGTTCGGTTTTGCTTTAAAGTCTAGACCTACCTTTAGCACTCCTTTAGTCCTCTAGGTCCATAGGGACGCTGTTGACATCGGCTAGGACCTTGAAAACTCAAAGAACAATGAAGCAGTTCCAACTTGTATACACATGGCAGCTATGTCTGCCTACGACTCTTTCCAGGTACGCTCTCTCTCTCTCTCTCTCTCTCTCTCTCTCTCTCTCTCTCTCTCTCTCTCTCTCTCTCTCTCTCTCTCTCTCTCTCTCTCTCATGGATTGTTTCCCTCTCTGAATGTCTTGTCTCTCTACCCTTTTTCTCCCTCTCTCTTGAACCTAAATCCTAGCCATGGCACCCTGCGCCGTTGACTACCCTATTGTCTCCAGCCAAGTCGCACTCGAAGTAAGTCGCACAGGCAACAGCAGCCCTTCCGCAACATTTTGAATGAACAAGTGTTTTTCCTCGGCACTGTAGCAGCTTTTTGTATTGGCTGCACTTGGCATCTTGGACGTTTAGGACCTGTACCGGTCCCTGTCATGTCGACCACGGTAGCTTGCCGATTCCTGACATCACCGGACTTCCGTTGAATACTGCTGCTATTTTTGGGATTCAGACCTTTGTCAGAGACTGGACTCCTGCAGGCTATCGGGGACTTCTATTGACGGATTGGTGATTTGACCTAAGGCATTACTAGTTGGAATCATACTTGCAACCGCACAAGCCCCACATTCGTGCGGAGTTCTGTACGGAGTTCCGTGCGGGGGGTGCCTGTGCGGAATCATGCAGGTTTTTTATTTTTATTATTATTATTATTATTATTATTTTTGGGAGGGGGAACGGGGGGGCGTATGATGGGAAGATGGGGATATGGCAAGGAGAGGGGGATATGGAGAGGAGGAGGATGTGGACGAGGAGGACGACGAGGAGGAGTCGTCGAGATGGGGGAGGAGGAGATATGGACGGAGGGAAAAGAGGAAGGGCAGGAGGAGGCG